AGCAGAGCCGCTGTCAGGGCGGGGCCTCCGCTGGCTGTGAGGGCGGCTGGGCCTGCGCTTTCCCATTGGCTGGCGGGGCCCAGAGCCCGCCTCCCCCAGCTGTGGCGGGAACTCGCGTGCGTTCTGCCTGAGGATCTGGCGTCCTGCGCAGCTGCCTGGAGCCGCACCTCCTGTGGACCTGCTGGGGCTTCGGGACAACAGGGGGTTATGTCCCCACTGACAGATGCCCAGTCTCCTCAGGATCCAACAGGAGGTGCTGCACTGAGGGGAAGGTGAGGAGGAAGGAAAAGTGAGGGAAAGTGAGGAGAAGCTTCCCGTGAGGGGCTGACTGCTGAGGGGAATCCCTCCTCAGAGGCCCTGGGAGAGGAAGGGCTGGATGTGGGACGCGGTGGGGTTTAGTCAGATTCTGTGTGTGGTGCAGACAGTGTGCCGTGTCCTTCTCTGGCGTGTGGTGTCCAGTTTCCCCAGCACTGTTCATCGAGGGGACTGTCCTTCCCCGGTGCAGGCTCCAGGCTCCTTTCTTGTGAGTTAACTGACCACATCCCCGTAGGTTTGTTTGCAGACTCTCTCTGGTCCATGTCCCTGTCGTTGTGCCAATTCCACACCTTTTTGGTGACTGTGCTTTTGTAATGCCATGTGAAGTCAGGGAAGGAGATGCCTCCAGCCCTTTTCCCTTTTGTAGAATCTCTCTGGCTGTTCAGGGTCCTTTGTGTTTCCACGTGAATGTTAGGAATGTTTGTTCTGTTTCTGTGAAAAATACCACTGAAGTTTATTTTATTTTATTGAACTGTAGTCAATTCACGATGTTCTGTTATTTTCTGGTGTAGGGCACAGTGATTTGACGTGCCTGCTTTGAATTTGAACACTGCTTTGGGTAGAACGGACATTTTAACAATATTAATTCTTTCTGTCCATGAGCACAGGGTATCCTTCCATTTATTTGCATCTGTTCAGTTTCCTTCCTCAGTGTCTTAGAATTTTCAGTGTGCAGGTCTTTCACATCCTTGATTCAATTTATTGCTAGGTATTTTTTTGGATGCAATTGTAAATGGGAATTTAAAAAAAGTCTCTTTCTGATGTTTCATTATTAATGTATAGAAAGGCAACTGATTTTTGTGTATTGATTTTGTACCTTGTAGCTTTACTGACATGATTTATTAGTTCTAACAGGTTTTTGATGGTTTGATGTGGAAAACTAAAAATCAGAATTCACCCTGTTTGGACTCCATCCAGATCCCCCACAGCACCTAAAGACACCGTGGCTCCTAATCGTCCCACAGTGCCTCTAAGTTACATGTGGACTCCTGCAAGGGCGACGAGCATCAGCACTTTGGGTGAACTGGATCCCGTCTAAGGGTGGGCCTCTATGAGGAAATCTGATGTCTTCTCTGCTTTTTTGGTGTGGTATTGACATGGTTGTTTTCAAAAGTAATTTAGTTTTTAATAAAGTTTCTTATACAGTTTTCTTATAAAGTTCTTTATAAAATACTTTAAATAGCACTTCGCAGTACTCACATTTGCCACCTCACATAAAGTACTCCTGTGGGTTTTACCTAACTCTGGGATACTCCCCCAGGGAACCAGCACATAAACGCCAGATGAAGAGATTGTATGGTTCACCTTGTAATCCCATCCACAGGCCCACTTCAGCCTTCCCCTTTGCCCCAACTTATGGAAATCCTTTTTTCCATTCTGTGCCAGTTTTCTTTTTCTGAAACTATTACTGAGAGTTTCCCTCTCTTTCAAAATCTTAATGGATTTAAGGCGCACAAGGTGAATACGATCTGGGTGGCATCTTCTGCGTGTCTCCTTTCACTTAGAATGTTTTCAATCTTTATCCAATTTGAGTCATTAGTGATTCATTCACATTTTTCATTGTCATTAAAAATACAGAACATAACATTTACCATTTAAACCACTTAACTATGCAGTTCTATGGTATTAACTAGATTCACATTGTTGTACAGATGCCTCACCATCCATCTCCAGAACTTACTCATTTTCCCCAAGTGAAGCCCTGTGTCCAGTGAACACTGACTCCCCTCAGCCCCTGGCAGTGACATTCTTTCTGTCTCTGCATCTGACTTCTCTGGATGCCTTGTATAAGGGGACCCATGTAATATTTGTCCTTCTGTGTCTGGCTTATTTCACTTAGCATATTGACTTCAAGATTTATCCACATTGCAGTGCGAGTCATAATTTCCTTAGTTTTTAAGGCTGTGTAGTATCCCATTGTGTATACACTACATTTAGTTTATCCATTCATCTGTTGGTGGACAGGTGAGTTATTTCCACTTTTGCTGTTGTGATTAGTGCTGCCATGGATATGGGTGTACCCATTTCTATTCCAGTTCCTGCTTTCAAATATTTTGAACATATATCCTGAAGTGGAATTGATGGATCACACATCAGTT